GAGGGAGCTATGAAATAGGAAATAGGTGTTAAAAAATTATGTTTTTGGCCAGGCGCAGTGGCTCACACCTGTAATCTCAGCACTTTGGGAGGCCAAGGCAGGTGGATTACCTGAGGCCAGGATTATAGCAAGGTGAAACCCTGTCTCTACTAAAAATACAAAAATTAGCCGGGCATGGTGGCACGCACCTGTAATCCTAGCTACTTGGGAGGCTGAGGCAGGAGAATTGTTTGAACCTGGGAGGTGGAGGTTGCAGTGAGCCGAGAATGTGCCACTGCACCCCAGCCTGGGCAAGAGTGAGACTCCATCTCAAAAAAAAAAAAAAGGTTTTTTATTCACTCACAGACTGGAAAAAACTAAAAATTTTGGTGCTATCCAATGCAGGTGAGCGCCTGGGTAGGCCAGCACGCTTGTAACTGTCAGTGGGAATGTAAAATGATACAATCTTTTTGGAGGGTGATTTGGCACTATCTAATTACAAATGGAGATGCATTGGACCTGGTAGACCTACTGCAGATAAACTTGAAGAAAATAAGTGCACAAATTAGGTGTATGAAGTATTCACGACAATACTGCTATGATACCCCCAACACGGGACAGATCTTAAACACCCTCAGGGTACACTGTAAAACAGAACCATGAACAGCTGTTAAAAAGAATGAGAGAGGCTGGGCATGGTGGCTCATGCCTGTAATTCCAGCACTTTGGGAGGCTGAGGCGGGTGGATCACAAGGTCAAGAGATCAAGACCCTCCTGGCCAACATGGTGAAACCCCATCTCTACTAAAAAATAAGAAAATTAGCTGGGCATGGTGGCACGCACCTGTAGTCCCAGCTACTCGGGAGGCTGAGGCAGAAGAATCGCTTGAACCACGGAGGCGGAGGTTGCACTGAGCTGAGATTGCTCCATTGCACCCCAGCCTGGCAACAGAGTGAGACTCCATCTCAAAAAAAAAAAAAAAAAAAGCTAAACATACGCTTTTTAAAAGGCATACTGTCCCCCAGGCTGGAGTCCCCCGTCCATCCGTGGGGGATGGGGGTTAGATCCAGTGGATGGATGCAGTGGCTTATGCCTGTAATCCCAGCACTTTGGGAGGCAGAAGTGGGAGGATTACTTGAGCCCAGGAGTTTGAAACCAGACTGGGCAACAAAGCAAAATCTTATTTCTAGTAAAAGAAAAAATTGGCTGGGTGCAGTGGCTCACACCTATAATCCCAGCACTTTGGAAGGCCGAGGCGGGCAGATCATGAGGTCAGGAGTTCAAGACCAGCCTGACCAACACGGTGAAACCCTGTCTCTACTAAAAATACAAAAATTAGCTGGGTGTGGTGGTGTGTGTCTACTCCCAGCTACTCAGCTGGCTGAGGCAGGAGAATCACTTGAACCCAGGAGGTGGATGTGGTAGTGAGCCGAGATTGCGCCACTGCACGCTAGCCTGGGCGACAGAGCAAGACTCTGTCTCAAAAAAGAAAAAATTAGCCGGGTGTGGTGGCGCGTGCCTGTAGTCCCAGCTACTTGGGAGGCTGAGGCAGGAGGATCTCTTGAGCCTAAGAGGTTGAGGCTGCAGTAAACTGTGATGGCGCCATTACACTCCAGCCTGGGGGACAGAGTGAGACCCTGTCCTAAAATAAATAAATAAAAAGCCCAAAAGGAGATACACCAAATTGTTAATGACTACTTCTGTGTTGTGGAATTTATTTTTTCCTCTATTGATATACTTTCTTTAGTTTTTCTGAATATATTACTTTTATAATCCAGAAAATAGTACAACTAAAGAGAGTTTGCAGTAACATGAGAAAATGTTTATGATGTTATTAATGTGAAGTGAAAAAAGCAGCTACAAACTGAATACACCATGTGGTCACAGCTACGGAGAAACCATGCACAGGGAGAAACAGTGGAAGGACACACCTCCGAAGGGCAACTGTGACTGTCTCTGGTAGTGGGGTTTTGGATGACTGCTGTTTTTCCCTTTTTACTTTTCTGTGTTTTCCAGGTTTTCAACACTGAGCCTGTGTAACTTTTATTGGGAAAATAAACCTCGATAAATTAAAAAAAAAAAAAAAAAAAAAAAAGGCCATTAGTATGGTAGAGGTATGTCTGGGCACAAGCTATACCCCATCCCAACATAAACAGCACAATGAAACCAAACTGATATCACACAAACAAAACAAAAAGCTACATGGAGAAAAGAAATACAGACTAGTGAGAAAGGGCCCCAAACACTAACAGTTGTTGTCTTTGGGTAGCTCTAAGGGAGAATTATTAATTTTTCTCTCTTCTTTATTTTCTATAAATGAACATGCATGGCTCTTGTGATGGGAAAAATAAAATAAAATAAGATAAAATCATTTAGATCAAATGACACAACAGGTGGCAAAAGACTTACTTTGAAAAAGAGGTAGAGCCCCAAGAGTGTGCAGCTGGCGATGATGGGGAAGCGGGCGGCATCCCGGCTGGTGATTGTTTCAGGCATGTCCGAAGCATTCTAGAGGAGAGAAGAATGGCAATAGCTCAGCACGGCTGGTTCCCATGTGTTCCTGCAAGGCTCTACAAATGCTGTTCCCTGGGCTAGGGATGCTGCCTGCCTCATCCTGGGGCAGGATGCTCTGATCCTGCCACTGTTTTTTTTTTTTTTTTTGAGACGGAGTCTTGCTCTATCACCCAGGCTGGAATGAAGTGATACAATCTTGGCTCACTGCAGCCTCCACCTCCTGGGTTCAAGTGATTCTTCTGCCTCAGTCTCCCGAGTAGCTGGGACTATAGGCATGTGCCACCATGCACAGCTAATTTTTGTATTTTTAGTAGAGATGGAGTTTCACCATGTTGGCTAGGCAGGTCTTGAACTGACCTCAAGTGATCCACCTGCCTTGGCCTCCCAAAGTGCTGGGATTACAGGTGTGAGCCACCACGACTGGCCGATCCTGCCATTCTGCCATAAGGAGATCTGGACCCTGATCAAGAGACCAAGGAGAACCCAGGGCATATGTGACACATCTGGGGAGAGGGGCTATGGCAGAGGCCATTCCAGTATGGAATAACTGAAAGAAGAAAACTTGGACACGAGTGATGCCACAGCAGTTTCAGACCTCTCGAAGAGAATTGTTTTCAATTTTCTAATGGATCATCTAAGAGGGAAAAATGACTATTCTGTCATCCAGTAGGTAATTAATATTATGAGTTGAAATTAACAACAAACAAGACAATGGCTGAAACTGCACATAGGGAGACACCAACTGTGAGGAGAAGCAAATCTTGACAAAACTTAAATTTAAGAAATTTGACTGGCAGACTTGAAAATGGTAAAAATAAAAGCCACAATTAAATTTATAATGGCAGATGCTACAGTTGGCAAGAATGTGATGTGGGTAAAGAACTGATGAAGGATAAATATTTACATGAAAAAGAACTAAATGCAATAAAAACAATTTCAGTGTTATAAAAATGAAAAGAATTAAAAATGCAGTAACAGACCAACGTAGGAATAAATTAGTTTCACAGAATTTATGCCAAAGAAGGCTGGGCACAGTGGCTCACGCCTGTAGTCCCAGCACTTTGGGAGGCCGAGGTGGGTGGATCACAAGGTCAGGAGTTCAAGACCAGCTTTGGCCAACATGGTGAAACCCCGTCTCTACTAAAAATACAAAAATTAGCCGGGTGTGCTGGCACACGCCTGTAATCCCAGCTATGGGAGGCTGAGGCAGGAGAATCACTTGAAACCAGGAGGCAGAGGTTGCAGTGAGCCAAGATCATACCACTGTACTCCAGCCTGGGCGACAGAGTGAGACTCTGTCTCGGCGGGAGGGGAGGGGAAAGAGAATTGATGGTGAAGAACTTTCTTTTTTTTTTTGAGATAGAGTTTCACTCTGTCACCTAGGCTAGAGTGCAGTGGCACAATCTTGGCTCACTGCAACCTCTGCCTCCTGATTCAATCAATTCTCCTGCCTCAGCCTCTTGAGTAGTTGGGACACAGGTACATGCCACCATACCTGGCTAATTTTTGTTATTTTTTGTAGAGGGGGGTTTCGCCATGCTGGCCAGGCTGGTCTCAAACTCTTGGCCTTAGCCTCACAAAGTGCTGGACTACAGGCGTGAGCCATTGTACCCAGCCAGAAGTTTCTAATGAAAAATTATCAATGATAATATAGTACTGGTATAAATTTCTTTTCTTTCTTTTCTTTTTTTTTTTTTGGTATAAATTTGTATTCCAAACAGGGTCAAAAGCTTTCAGGATCACAGTGCTCTCTACCTGCCCTCTCTCTGCTAGGCAAAATCCTCACAGTCCTCAAGGGCCTAGTAAATGTCACTGCCATGAAGCCCTTCCAGATTTTCCCACTGGGACAAGCCTACTCTGCAACTGTTTTGTATCATGGCTACCGAAAGTCCTAACAATGCCAGATTAGACTTCTGCTCATGCTGAAGTCCTTCCCATAGTAGCCACAGACTCATTACAGTGCCTGAGATTCTACCATCACCATGTCCATCCTGCGAGTAAAACACCAGCATCCCTAGAAGACGGGATCACATTCAGTTACGGAGACTCACAAATATTTTGGCTCATAAAAACCAACAATAAAAAACCTGCTAAGAGAGAGGGTGTCTGGAGAAGGTAAGGCTGGCTCAGAGAGGCCCTAGTGTCCCAGGTGGAAGGTTGCAAAGAGGGAAGGAGATGGGGCAGAGGGCAGTAAGGCCACAAAATGACTACTAGGAGAGGGAGGTGTGGGCTAGATTCGAAATCCTGGGCTTAAGTAATCCTCATGCCTCAGCCTCCCAAGTAGCTGGGATTACAGGCATTTGCCACTGTGCCCGGCTAAAGGAAGTACATAGACAGCACTGGCCTAGAGTATAAACCTGTCCAGCCTTTTGGGGAGGGCAATTTGGCAGGATGCATTAAATTGAAATTTCCACATGCCCAAAGATACAAAAAGAAGAGCCACAGAACAAGAACTACAAATGGCTCTTAATAGTAAAAAAAGAGTGTTTATTCTCACTCTTAATGAGCTCAAACTAAAGCACACTGAGATTCTGTTTTTTGTCTATCAGAAAGGTAAGAATCCACACACTGGGTAACCTACTGAGTCGGTGGGGCTATGGGGGAAAGAGGTAGTCTCCCACACTGCCTATGGGAGTCAATCTGTCTTCCTGTAGAAAGCAACTAGGCAATACATAAAAAATCACAAATGCACATACCCTTTGACCAAGCAATTCCACCTGTGGGAATTCTCCCTACAGATATAGTTCACACATAAGTAAAATGCTACACATAAAGTGTATCCAAGGTATTCCTTGCTCTGTTAATGGCATGCTGAGTGACTGTGTTTACTTCTCTGTCAAACAGGAGGATAATCTCTAGCCTCACTTCAAAAAAGGTCTAAAAGCCTTCTTTTTTTAAAAAAAAAAGAAAAGAAAAAAAGCGACAGGGTCTTGCTCTATTGCCCAAGCTGGAGTGCACAGCTCACTGCAGCCTTGAACTCCTGGCATCAAGTGATCCTCCTGCCTTGGCCTCCCAAAATGCTGAGATTATAGGTGTGACCCACCACACCCAGTCCCATAAGAGTCTTAAACTAAATGAGATATGGGATGCGAAACAGCCTGGCAAACTGTAAAGTACTGTGCTTGTATTGGGGGTTGTGACTATCAGGGAGAGGTGAGTGAGGAGGCCCCTAACCACACCCTTGCCTATGCATGGCTGAGGCAGCCCAGGCACTGGGCTGGAAGGTAGACTATCCCCTCTGGAGCCACTGGAGGCAGCTACATGTGAGTCACTTGGATGGCTTTGCCAGGAGGTGGGAGCGGGGTAGGTGAGCAATACCCACATGAGAGGCCCGGTTTCCTTCCTTCCCTATTCTCTCCCAACCCTTGGCTTCTGCTTTTGCCAGTAGTGTGCTGTTGGACTTGGGCAAGTTCCTCATCCCCTCTGAGCACCTCCACACATTCAATACATTTCCTGTGTAGCAGTAGTATGGATACAAAAATGAGTTCCTGATCTTGACGCACTCACAGGCAGGTAGGTTAATACTGTGACATGATACGTATCACAGAGAACATATATTCTATTTTATGGAATGCAAAGCAAAACTGGCTGGGCATGGTGGCTCATGCCTGTAATCCCAGCACTTTGGGAGACGGAGGCGGGCAGATCACCTGAGGTCAGGAGTTCGAGACCAGCCTGGCCAACATGGTGAAACCTCGTCTCTACTGAAAATACAAAAATTAGCTGGGCATGGTGGTGCGCACCTGTAATCCCAACTACTCGGGAGGCGAGGCGGGAGAATAGCTTGAACCTGGGAGGCAGAGGTTACAGTGAGCCGAGACTGAGCCACTGCACTCCAGCCTAGGTGACAGAGCGAGACTCTGTCTCAAAAAAAAAACAAAAAAAAACAGCCTGGCCAACATGGTGAAACCCCGTCTCTACTAAAAATACAAAAATTAGCCAGGTGTGATGTTGTGCGCCTGTGGTCCCAGCTACTCAGGAGGCTGAGGCAGGAGAATTGCTTGAACCCGGGAGGTGGAGGCTGTAGTGAGTGGGGATCGTGTGACTGAACTCCAGCCTCAGCAACAGAGTGAGACTCTGGCTCACACACACACACACAAAGCCTCCCCCAAAACAAAACCCCAAACAGGCTATTATAACGCAGTGTGACACATGATGCAACAGACACGTTTATCAATGTGACACACAGTATCAACATCAGCAGTTATGAAGGGACTCTGAGGTCAGGAAGCCCATTTGGACTCCCAGCTCTACTTCTTCCCAGCTGTGGGACCTTGGGAAAGTGATTTTTTTCCCCCCTAAGCCTTGGTTTCCTCAGCTGTAAAATAAGTTGTGAGGATTCTGATTTCTGCTTTGGAAGTACTGAGCATTGTGCCTTGAGTCATCATGTAAACTGTATACACCATTTGTATCATTATTAAGCACAAGGGAATCACGAGAAGGCCAACAAGACACTATTTCTGCAGAGAAGTAAAGGAGTCAGAGGTGGCAAGAGCAGGTACCACTTAAGCAAGGCCCTGATGGTCAAGCACAGGGTCTGGTAGTTTGGAGCCAGATAAATGCTGACTGGGTTGAGGAGTCTGCTTTTTTTTTTTTTTTTTTAGTGGAGTTTTGCTCCTTTTGCCCAGTTTTGCTCCTTTTGCCCAGGCTGGAGTGCAATGGCACAATCTCAGTTCACTACAAATCAAGTGATTCTCCTGCCTCAGCCTCCCAAATAGCTGGGATTACAGGTACACACCACCACACACGGCTAATTTTGTATTTTTAGTAGAGACGGGGTTTCACCATGTTGGCCAGGCTGGTCTCAAACTCCTGACCTCAGATGATCTGCCCGCCTTGGCCTCCCAAAGTGCTAGGATTACAGGTGTGAGCCACCACTCCCAGGTGGAGGAGTCTGCTTTGTGTACAAGGAAAGGAAGTACTTATCAAGCAAAAGATGTGCACATGCAGAGGCTCAGGGCTGTCAAAGGATACATAGGACTCTGGGGCTTCAC